TTTTTTTTCATAAAGAAATTCTTTCTTTTTACCAACCAATAGCAAAGCGGCTGATACAAAATTTTGCTAGGCCAATAAAAAGTGTGAAAAATACAGTACAGCTCTGGACTTCACGTTGGAATATTTTTTCCTTAAAGTGCAAACGTGGCATCTGTTTTTAAATAATAAACTAGGTCTGTCTTTTTGTAAGCAACATGATATTGAATGTGAACATTTTCAATGCTGTGCAGGTACCATATTTACCTTCCAGTACGATACAGACACAGAATGTAATGAAACTCCTGGAGGGACGAAAAGGTTGCCTGGCTGACCTTGGTTCTGGAGATGGGAGACTGGTGAGTTATTCAGAAAACTCTGCAGTTGCACTTCTCAGCTTGTATACCTGATGTCCAGGAATATTTACATATTCATCTACTGAGGGTCAAAGAACATAACCTTGACGTATAACTGTATATAGTAATAGAACTGATGGAACAAAACACTCTCATCACACAGCTTAAATTAAACTTTGTTTGCTTCAAATACAGTTACACAATGAACAAAATAATGTGTGGATTTGATGGTCACAACGTTTATTAGTAATCTTGCGATATTTGTGTCCTTAAAGAAGAGTGATGTCTGACATAAAGTTCTTGAAATCCAGAGATCAAAAAGAAATCCCTTTATTTTGTCTGGGCACCCACATGAAGGAAAAAACATTTCAGTTATATCCTGGAGTTGGAATATAATGTAATGTGGGGATAACTAGTCTCTTTACACCCACCACCCATTTTCTTCATTTTTAAGGCAAAACAGAGACCATGTTTACTGAACCCCATTAGCCTTGGTTTACAATTCAAGTCTTGCAAATTTACTTGGTAGATGTAAATGGACAATGAGTGGACATGTTGTAGCCACTTTCGATTTTTCTATTTAAATGAATCATGATTCAAGATTTTATGTAATTGTACTGAGATAAATTCTAAATTATATTAAGTGAAAATTGTAATAAAAAAAATATTAGGTACTTCATATATTTGCTCCAGGGCAGAATATGAAAATTAATTCATTCTGTCACATAATTATGTCAGCTATTTCATTCTTTGTGTCTGAAGGTGATGGTATTATAATACAGTATATCACAAACATTTTTTCTGTTGCCACAAAGATCACGATAATATAATGTAAAAATAAAACGGAGCCAGATTCAAATTGTCACACAAACACAAGGTGTAAATTTTCTGAGTTTGTGACAGGAAAGTCATTTAAGCAGTAACCTCAGATTTTATCAAAAACTGTCTGCAGCGCAATCGTTATCATGAAGCAAGCCTTTTCACATTTAGAGTAAGTAATGCCAGTTAAATAAAATGCTATTATTTGTAATTATTTTATGTCTGCTGTCATTTACTAATCTTTCTCACAAACATGGCAAGCTGGTTCTCATACAAACGCTCGAAATCTCATTTATCTCAGTTCTTCTACTTCATTTTTATGTCCTCGTAAGCAAAACATATTGTTATCATCATCTTTTGTTAAAAATCTGGCATTTTTACATGTGAAACAAATTATTTACATTGTACAGCTCTTTCCTTACCATGAAATATTATAATCATATGATGGTTATTGCTTTAGTTTTCGTCCCACAGTCCAAAAACCATACAGGTTTGGTTAGTTGGCTTTTGTGAAAACTGCCCCTGGTGTGAGTGTGTGTCTGTGTTTGTGTCTGTCCTGTGATGGACTGGCATTCCCGTCCAGGGTGAGTGTGTGCCGATTGCTTGTCAGGCTCCAGCATCCCCATGACCAAGTATTGGAAGAAGTGGTTAAAAAATAGATTGAAGTCCATTATTTATTTTGTCTTGGCACAAATAATCCAAGTACAGACGACCATCATCAGATGAATGAAAACTCCATGATAGCCAGAATCTACTCTCTTCTTTTAGATGATGTTTGGCAGTACAGTAGGTGTACTGCCTTGTAAACTGTTTTTCATCAGATTTTAGAAGATACAGTACGCAAGGCTGGGCCTGGACACTACATCAGACCCTCAGTGCAGACTGAAGATGCATTCCAAAGAAAGGAGAACTGTGGGAATGAAAGTCACAAAATTAACCTATATGGCAGGGAGGGCAAAAAGGAAGTCAGTATAAAAAATAACCCATTTCAAATTTTGCAGTTAAGCACCTGAGTGATCATGCAAAAATGTGGTAAGAGTTGTTATGGTCAGATGAGAGCAAATTGGGACTTTTGGGTCTAAATGCCAATTGTTCTACTTGCTGCAGATCAAACATGGCACATCTCCCAGTCAGCAGCATCCCTATGGTCACACATGGAGGTGGCAGCATCATGCTGCCAGCAGGGTCTGGAAAGTTTGTCACTAGAAGTTTCTTTCCTGAGGAAAAATGGACAGAACAAAGTCCAAGCAAATAATAGGGGAAAAACCTGTTTCCGTCTGCTTTCCAACTGCATTCTATTTTTTAAATAAAACTTAAGTTTCAAAGTTTGCATGCATCATTTTGTAATTTCATAAAATTGGACACCTTTGGACGAGATCAAATACTTTTGCAAGGCACTGTATGAGCAATAAAATGAGTAATATTATTTTTTTTCTGAAGCATTGAACAAGATATATAATACAATACCTAAATACAAGTTATTTTCACTTGAAATACGCAGCCTTGGCTCACTTCTGTCAAGTCGTATAAAGTCATTGCTTAGGGTTTCAGAATAGTTACAGACATTTCACTTATTTCATTTCTGGAATTAAAAAAATCAGGTTTTCAGGATAAATAATTTTTAATTTTTGTTCCTTCCCATTATTGTTCAGCCTTTATTTGTCAACAGGTACACTGAATATGGCTGACATTTCCTTGGCTTGATGTGTGTCCCATTTCCTGATATAGATATTTCTCCTGTCTTAAAAGCTTGGCAGCATAGATTAATTGAAAAATACATAGGGATGACATTACATAATCTGGTATGGACTCTGGTAGGGAATATTCCTTTTTGTTTAGTTATTTTTTTGTTGTTGGAACATTGTTTCTTTTCAAATATTCATTTTCCAAATTCAGAATCATTAAACGGCAATGTTTTATTTCTACGTTATTTACAGCATGCTGCTGTGCAGTATTTAGTTCTATGTATGCGTATTTATATGTATAGTTTTATATTATAGTTTTTCTAGAAATGTATCTACATAAAAAAATATTCACAAATAAGAGGAAGACATTAAGATCATCTAGCTCTTGTTGCTAGTCCCTATAATAATTGGGATCTCATCTAGCAGTTTCTTCTTCCAAACAAGGGTTTGATAGCTTGGCTGGGCAGTGTGTTCTTCTGTTTGTTAACCTTGTCAATGCCTTGAATCACAACCTTCTCTGTTCAGGCCCCAAAAATAATTGGTTTTGTCAGCCTGTTACTTGAAGTGTTACTTCAGGCTTGGCAGTATATCTGATTACTGGTCTCTGTAGTGCTTCCAGATCAACAGCAACACATAATGTGCAGAGCAAAGCTGTACATTTTGCTCTAAATGTCTTATTGGCCTTATGAGTGTAGAATACAATTTAAACATAACGTACCTTGATTTAATTCTACAACATTCTTTAACTGTACAACATATTTTCTTGTATAGAGCACATATTTTCTTTTTATATTAAAATATATTTTACATATTTTTGTATTGCTATACAGTATATTTGCTCTTTATTGCTCTCCACATTGTCTAGAAGACTAAATGTGTCTGCATTAACATCTGTTTTCACAGATTGCTTCTCCCAGCCATCTTATATTTGTAGCATGTTTTGCTCCTACCTGCATGTACTAAAGTACTCTGCACTTCTACACTCTAACTTGTTAAAAGTTATTTGAACAAGCAACAACAAGAACTGACACAAAAGAGCATATGTTATGGCATATTTGTATATCTGGTAGGATTCCGATAAGGTTTCTTATTAACATTTTTTACATTGAAGGCAGTAGGAACTCAAGTTAATGCTTGCCTTTCGATTGAAAACTGACAATGGAGTACAGTCAAGGGGTAAATGCTCAAACTAAGGTGGTGAACTACTACAGAGATTTGTGTAGCACTGTACCTCCTAGCTGATGTAAATTATTTAGATTCTGGTACAGTACATGGTAAACTAATCAAGTTCTCATATGATACTAATATAAAGAGACGAACAAACATTGCAGGTGTGACAAGATGTGCAAAATTCAAGACTAGGCAAATGCCTGGCAGATGATATTTGGTGAAGCAACATAATAATAATAATAATAATAATAATAATAATAATAATAATAATAATAATAATTAATAATTGCTTACACTTATATAGAGCTTTTCTGGACACTCCACTCAAAGCGCTTTACAGGTAATGGGGACTCCCCTCCACCACCACCAATGTGCAGCACCCACCTGGATGATCCACCTTTTCCAATGCCATGCCTCCCCAGGAACTGGGGAATCTCAAAGTGTGAAGAGAACCTCTCTAAAGAGGTGGAGAGAGAGGAGGTTGTGCGGTCCTATCCTGATATATTTTTGTTTTTGAGATGTGCAACATCTAATGCTGTTAGCCAAGAGCTCTTCCTAGTGAAGCTCACAACCTGAAGACCAGTCACTCTCAATCTGTACAGCTTCAGGAGGTTTTCCCAGCTTGCTTTCCTATTTACAAAAAAATGTTTTAATTAAATAACAGCCTCTATATGCCAAGAATATCAGCAGACTGAGCTATATGACCATAAGAGAAGGGAACTGATGGGCCTGGTGAATAACTTCAAACAAATATATAAGTACTTGACCTGAAATACATTACAATGCAGTTGTTATTTGTCCTTGTTACACTTTCATTGCATGCTTTGCACTTGCTTCTTATGTGGTAGATTCAGTGATATTAACCAAGTGCATCTGTGTCTGAAATTGGTAAATAACTGTTGCATTTAGTTGGGCAATAACCTGTTCCTAGAGCAAATGAATTTTGCAATGAGTACCCTGTTCTGTGTTTAGAAAAAGAGTGTGTTTAGAAAAGAAAGTGTCCAAAGAACATACAGTATGTCGGAGAATTGGATAGTTTTTTAAAATGAAAGATTTGGGGTGCAGATTTCTATTTTTTTAAACCATGTGTTTTTATCAGACACTTTCAAATAAATATGAACAATTCATGATTGCAGATGCACTGAACTATAAATTAAGCCAGCTTTATTTATAACTACATTGTGTCAAAATGTGGAAACTGACACAAACAGGAAGCAAAAGTGACTCATAATATATTACAGACCACAAATGTGTTGCAAATTTCCAGCATCATTGTCACTTTCCTATTATAAATAATTGATTTTTGTGTTTGTGAAAATAAACACTTGTACTTAAGGAAGTGATTTTAAACACATGTACTCTCAGTTTTCAGTAGAGACTTGATACGGTCTTGGTCGCTGGTCAGTTAAGATACATTTGAGTTTCATCAGTTATTGTTATTGGTTTTTGAGGCAGTATCTTATACAGTGAATGTTGGATCCAGTACTTATAATAATCCCTTGAAAATGGGAATTTTTAAAAACTGTTCTAAAATAACACAAAGTGTTTGCAGAGTGCTCCGTATCTGTAATGGTTTCACTACTGTTCTTATTAATTAAGGATACTTTCAAGATATTTTTAAGAAATCAGAATCTATGAGGGACTAGTTTTTAAATTAATTAAATTGATAAAATACTGCCACTTGTTTTCCAAATGTACATTTTGGAGAAAACAATGCTTGTTTTTTTTTATTTCTGGCCAGCTCATGATTGATTATTTTCCCTGCTAATTCTTTTATCATTTTCAAGCCAATTCCTGCCATCTTCCTTTAGTTTAGGCACAATTTTAAAAAGCAAAGGATGGTTTGTTTCGATGAACTTAAGAATTTCTTTGCAAAATGCTTTATAAAGTACGTCTGATAATGTTAAAGTTACGTGTTGTGAAGTGATGATAATGACTCAGATGAAGCTCTCACGCAAACTTCCTGTAGAAAAAAAAAGCTCTATTTACTAATATTTTTATGTAAATAAAAAAACTTACAGATTTCAGGACTAAAAATCCTTGGTCTTTTTAAAATATTGATAATAATATTGAATACTGTTAAAACAGTTGTAGTAAGTCTCTTCTACCTATTTTGTTAATCACCAGAAGATCCTTTCCTTTTATTGTAGGCTGATTGTACTACATCTGTAACACTGTATTGGTTGTCTTATATTAGGTCTTTGCTGCTTCTTCTCTGGGACTTCAGAGTACTGGATTTGAGATCAACTCAATTTTGTTAACCTATGCAAGAAGTAAAGCCTGGTGGAAAGGAATACCCACCTATAAAGCTACTTTTGTCAACAAGGATTTTTGGAAGGTACTTCTTTCACATAAATAGATATTTGTTAAAAATTATCATCTTTCCAAATCTGTATCTGTAGCTGTGGAAAGGTACACATTTTAATGTCACATAGTTACCATTTTAATTTTCAAGACTATACAAATGTACTGTATCAGAATCGGATGCAGTAGAGAAATAATAACATGTAAACCTTATTCCGGTTCAGTGTTTTTTAACCTGATTCAATTTCAGATGTTGGGCTTTATTTACCTAATATGAGAAAATGAACTAAGCTCTTTATGGTATGACCTCAAAATAATTAATTGGTTTATACTTTCAAAAAGAGAGAAGTGGCTCTAAAATGGAAAAAGTTCAGGATATGCAATATAATTTGGTCTGATTTTCTTTTATGATCCAAAATGCAGTAAGTGAAGCCAGGTTGGTATTTCGCAAAACTCAAATATGCTTCTTATATACTGTCTAATAGAGGTATCTGTCAGCTTCCAATTATGTATCATTTTCTTGAATTTCAACTTGTAACTTCTATTTTTAACTTATTTCACACATAAAAGTGTTCAATCTCAGCATTCAACATTTTGATTTAAAATGTTCAATTTGAAAGATGTGTTTTTACTATTTGTATTTTATAATTGGACATCATTGGAAGGGGAGAATTACAGTACTTTTCAAGAAAGTGAATTTTCTACCACTTTCTTTACTTTTGACCGGGTCTGCATCTTCACAATTCTTAGGCTCAGACAGAAAAATATACTGTACGTAGTAGGGGTTTTAAGACCTTTTTCACTTCAAGTATGAACTGTTTTTCATTTCAAGTATGAAATGCTGTTTTTTTCTATTTACAGACCGATCTGTCAAGGTACAATAATGTGACCGTATTTTTAGCTCCAGGTGTGGTAAGTATCTGCTGTCAAAGCAATACAACAAAAGCAAGTGAGAGATGGTATTTGATTGTTCTTTATTTTTAAACCTACCGCACTTGTCCTATGTAGGTCTAAAGATCATTTGCAAACTTCTTCAGCTTTTATAATAAGCTGTTATACACCAAAATAATTACCTTGCAATGTAGTCACAATATAGAGAAATGGAAGTAGCTTACAATTATACATTATACATCACATTTCATCCCAAAGCTTCACAGTTAAGAGAGGCACCACTTCACACACCAGTGCCGTGCAGTCCCACTTGGGTGTCGTGTGGCAGACATTATACACAAGTTGCCACCCTACACAGCAGTTCAGGTGGAAACGTGTGAAATTAGTTTTGGGAGTGGTGTTGACTTTGTCAGTGTGTTTGTTGATTTGAAATGCTTATAGATGAGGTTCCGTAGTCTTCTCTGTTCAAGTCCCAAGTTCAAGTGCATAGACATTCTTTGAGCCCACCAATGCATCAGTTCTTTTGACTGATTTCAAAGCAGCAGTAACCTTTTTCATTAACTGGTGGTCAAAATTATTCTGTAAATGAGGTCTCACTACTGCATAACTGTTCTTCCTATTATAAACTCATCTCATTTGTGTGTTTTGTTGCATGCCAGCACTGTCTAAAAAGTGAAAAATATCAACTTAAGCACAAAAGGGTTTTAATAAGTAGTTTCTTCCATTTCAGATTTCCCATCTTACAGTATATAGTACTTTGTTTTTATTGCTGGTGATTGCTTACAGTAGCACTTCTTTTTTGCAATCTTTTTTTACCTCTTTTTAAACAAAGGTTTCCAAACATACTGTTAAAAGAAACATACTGTATCATGCAAAGCATGTATATATTTTAAATATATAATTGATCATTTATGGGCAGCCGACAGATACTTGATTGATGCACATATCATGGTTGGTTATAATTTGAGTAACTTTAATAATTAACTAAACATTAAAGCCTCATATTAGTGACAGATAATTGGGCACACATTATCAGGTTATTTAATCTTTTGAAAGTCAACCCTGGTAAAAATTTAAGAAAGACAATTGCAGAAAGGATATAACATGCCCAGATTATAAAGAGAACAGGTTGGAGGCTGCACCACGTGCAATTTCTAACCAGACTAAAAGCCACAGCCAAGCCCTGTCCCTCAGTATCAGATCATGATTTGGAAAGCCAAGCATCACGATACCTCACCATGATCAGTATATAATCGTGGTGTTTTCTCAGTGCCAGTTCCATCACATCAGAAATGCCAGGGTGACAATACTATTCCTCTGTGAGGAGATGGCTAAACAATTTAATCTTCCCAGTTTCTTACTTCACTTCAATGTCTTTCTCACAGATCTTTCTGATCTCCAATCATTTGGGGATCTTTAAGATGAAAAGACCCATAGAACTTCTACTAATGAATTATACATCATCATTTTAAGATAAATTCTTCAGCCGAAAGGTTTATGTGCTTTGTGTGTGTGATTTACTGTAAAAGCCATTGTTTTCAAAACGAACTTTTAACTGTAACATTGTACCACTACCTAAATATATGTAGGTCTTGTACGGGTTTTGCATGATTAGATGCATTTCTGGGAAGTCTATTACACTGTCCTATGTTTACGCATCATTGCATTTTCACACAAGATTATATTAGGGAAATGTGTACTTTGCTTTGTATGCCCACTTTATCCTGTTTCCAGATTTATAATACCGTGTATTTATCCAGTAGAGAGCGTGGTCTCTGAAGCACTGTGCTGAGTCTAAAGTTTTAAAGTCTAAAGTATATTGACTTTTAGCCATTATATTTATATCCAACCACAGCCTGTGTGGCCTATGTAGCAATGTATGGTGTTCCAGAATTAGACTTATTTCTATATTTATATACCATGATGATATTTGTATGATTTGTTAATGCTATTACCAAAAGAGAGAATCATGTTGTTTAGGAGTATGGAAAGGTGCTCAAGAGTTTTTTTTTTTAGTTTTGATTGAATTTGCACCCTTTGAATGTCAGATGAAGCTTTACATTTTAATTACCTTCAGCAGGCGTGAGTTAACAGAGTGCTATACTCTCTTGTAAAACGAACTATATCAAATGTGTTAAAGTTATTCAACAGCCTTAAACAGGCATGTTACTTCAGGTACATATTTAACTTCACAAAGGGGAAATTCCAGCTCAGATACACATTGACATACAGTAAACACATACTGTACTTTGGATATCAGTCGAACTATGAACACCAAGTCCGCTCCAGGCTAGAACTACATTAAAATAGTATATAGAAATCTGGCAGGAGTAGTTTGAAATTCCTGCTCCGCTTTTTAGATTTTTAAAGAAAGATAAAAAGTATACTACTTGTGTTTTATTAAACATTCCATTGAAAGTAATACCCATTTATTACTGAAGAGAAATTAGAAGGAGCATGCAGTATGAAAGAAGGTAACACATGTATATTTAGCCACTTTTTGTATTCAAAAGCTAAGAATTCATCCATATTTGAAAAAAAACATCTTGTCTACCCTTCCATGGACATTATACAGTAGTTTGTATATCAAAAAATAATTTAAGTGCTTGTCATTTACTTTATTTACCCAATACAAGAAGTGAGGACATATTCCCATTCATTATGAAGCCGAACAATTTCCTCATTTCAATACATTCTGGTTATTAATTTATCGATGCTCCAGCTTAATCAATACTTGTAAATCTGAGCTCCTTTCTAAGAAAGACATATTTATCAAATACATTATCAAGATTCTTATGCATTCTTAAGACATACTCATGGATTAAAATCATGCATTACTAATGAAGTATTAACACACCATCTCCCGTCCTTTATAAATGCATACACATGTACTGTATGTTTCAAATTGTCTACAAAAAAATATTGTTTTTGTACTAAAAGAAGAGGGCTTGTAAAAAAAAATAAAGTATCACATTGATTTTACATTCTACCTGAATTCAGAAACAAAAATCTTAATGAGATGTTATGCATTAGAAATATAAATTTAAAACGCAGCAAGATTACAGCCCAGAAAAAAAAAACTAAAAGTATTTTACTTGTACGTGTTTTAGTATGTGTGTTAGTGAAGTTTTAAACTCTTTTCATTTTAATTAGGAATTTGGTTCATATTTACTAAATAATCTACAAACGGATGAATTCTGTGTATTTTCCAGTGATGAATGTTCCTCAAAAATCTAATACATATACAGTATATACAGTATTTTTTTTTTCAACAGAAGAGATGTTTATTCTTGTTTGCACATATCTGTTAATCAGCTGATTCACAGACCACTATTTTGCTGTTTCCTCAGATGGAGGTGTTGGAGAAGAAGCTCCTGGCAGAACTCCCTGATGGTGCCAGAGTCATTTCATGTCGTTTCCCTTTCCCACACTGGCCCTCCGTCGGCACTGAAGGAGCAGGCCTGGATCAAGTATGGGCCTATGACATAAATGCTGTACGCAGGATTGCTACCTAATCGCTTTCAATTTGAAGCTAATTGGGTATTGACAAACATTTTTTTAAAAGAGGCATAGTATTTTAATACTAAATATAATCGTCTACAAAAAACCTCTCTTTTGAAACAAACCTTTTAATGTAACGGAAACTCTGTGTGAAACTGCATATGTTGTTCACTCTACACCAAATCTTGGTAATCCGCTGTCTTGAGGTTCCCATTATCATCGTCCCCTGAGGTTGATAAATTAGTCCAAATAAGTCAATAGTGGCTGCTTTAGGTTCTTAAGAGGTGAGCTGGAATGAAGAACTACAGACATACTGACTGCTCTGGACAACGATTGTACACGCCTGGATAATTTCGTTTCATATCATGTTTATGGTTTCTACTTTTCCAGATGCCTCTACAAAGCCTGTATACTTACATAAGCCATAATCAAAACCTAACTTTGAGAATTCATCATGAAGAGTTAGGTTTTAGGGAAGGCATCATCGATTAAACACTCTACTGTATGTCTCTCATTTTGGTTACATGTGTATTCACTTCTTCATATGAAACAGGTTATATTGACTTTCTCTTAGAAATTAATGTCTGACTAATGCATTCATTTCACAGTAAAAAAGCCATGCAAGTTTGCATTTCCATTGTTTGTGAACAATAATCTATAAATAGAGATGAATCAAAAATAAAAATTAAATTTGCAATTACTGTGTGAGGTCTGCATTAATACTAAGGAATACTTTTTTACAAGGCCTAAATTTGTTGGATGTATGAACACAGTTGATTCTAGATACAGTAGTTTCCTTTAAGCCATTATTTGACTTATACAGTATATATAGTATACATCAATGAAGAGAGCTCAACAATAAAAATATTGGACTTAGGAGCGGTTGTCCATAACTTATCCCTAGCTCTTTTCAAAACTGTTAAATTATATAAAATAAACCAGCAATAACCAAGGGGATTTTCTCCTCAGTCTAGTTTACACAGAAGCTTTGAAAACTTAACAAAAAGTTAGAGATTAGCAACGTTCAATAGTAATTTGGTGGAGCATTTCACTAAACAGATTTGTATAACTGAACAAGATAGAGCAGCATTCAGTTATGAACGAACAAGTAATAGGTTTATTCCATGCTGAAAAAAAGAAGAAAGAGAACACAACGTTTCGGCCGTGGAGCCTTCTTCAGGTGTGAAGAAGGCTCCACGGCCGAAACGTTGTGTTCTCTTTCTTCTTTTTTTCAGCATGGAATAAACCTATTACTTGTTCCTTTGCAGCCTACGCATGCTGACGCAGCTACCCACCTGAACTACATTCAGTTATGAACTCCCTATGTAAAATGTCCTCTGTCTTGCATTCTCTGAAATGCTTTGTGGCCAATAAACTGTATGTCACTTCCACTGAAAAACAAACCACATTTAAATTGCTCTTTGGGAAAAACAAATGCTTTGCATAACAATAGCCACAACTTCCATTGCAATATTCTTTGTCGTTATTTTGTGACGAGTATCAGATCTTAACTAGTGCCACTTATCACAGAGTTTGAAAGTTTGATTTTCGTTAATGATTCTGCCTCTATTCCCCACTGAAGGGAAATCAAACTCAAGGTCCCCTACTGGACTAGTTCAGGAAAGGCAAAGTGTCACCATACCAAGAGCAGGGGTTAAACAGGAATGTATTTCCTTGTTCACAGAATCCAGGGAATATTCTGGAATAGTGTGCATGTCCTGTACCTTACTGTTATTATTTCTCTTACATTGCCTGGTTTTTGTAATAAATCTGCTAAACCCTAGTTTTATTAACATGGTTACGTCAAACTTTAAATTATTATGATTAAATACTTTTTTACTGAACGAAAATAAGACTTTTATAAAGCAATGCAATAGTTTTCAAAAGCATATTTTAAATGTAGTTTGTTCCAAAGTGGAAACAACATATTTTTGGCACACAAAGTATCTCTCCATTTCAGCAGGTTGTCCGCAGATGTTTTACGTTCAGGAATTTTCATATTTTTTATTATTCAAAACGTAACTACAAAATGCAATTTTCTAATTAAATATCAGGTATATTAAAATAAGCCAAAATGCTAGAAGCTATTTAAACACAACTAGAGCTATCTACATTAAGCACATTTCTAATAAACATTTAGTAGCATATTGACTTAAAAGTATTAAAAATGAAATTGAAGTAGAGACACTGCTGCCACATATGGAAAAGGAGGTATTCAGATTCAGAATAACAGTACTCCGGCATGCTTTCTTGAGTCTTGTTATACACACTGTCTTGTTTTGGCAGGGCAAAATATATGGATTGACTAAGTAGTTCTGTTCAGTTCCTGCCAAGTACATTATCTGGGAAAATGTAAACGTCATCTCCCTCTTCATTGTGAGGCTCTTTATTATCAGTAGGTCCCTCATAGTTATAATACAGGTTGGATGCATCATTCCCATAAATATGGTGTTCCACAGCTGTATTGCACTCAATGTAAACGTCTTCAGGCTCGTCATGCTGTGCATAGCCTCCTGTATTCTTCTGACTCTGATCCATTTGTTTCTGAATATGAATGTTCTCATAAAGACTCTGCTTGGGGGCGCTTCCCGAGAGAGAATCGGAAGAATAAGTGAGAACACCAACAGGTCCTGACACAGAGTGAGATGACTGAGGTCTTACTTCGTAGGATTTTGGCTCTGGGGAGGCTTTCATTCGGTAATGTTTTTTTTCCATTACTTTTTCTAAGTCTCTCGAAATGTTAGCCCTCTGTCCATGATAGCATCTGCACCACTGGAAAATCAGGCCACAGCAAACAGAGACTTTTTCTGGACAACACCCTTGCCCACATTTCTCCAAAGAAGTGCAGTTTGACATTGCTGTTTCAATACGTATGAATTGTGACCACCTCAGACTTGGAAACTATGGAATATGAATTTACTTGAACTGCTACAGCACTTAATGAACTTTTAATTTACCGCATAAGGCTATATTCCGATTTTATTTTACAGCAGATGGGCCTTTAATTTAGTACGGCTCCTTGAATCTGAGTCTTTATTTTTTGTTTAATGTTGTTGCCAGATCGAGTCACTCCCTGCAGACATCAGTCTTCGAGGAATAAGTGCTCCCAGATATGCTGCTGACTTTGCCTTCTAGAGAGCAACTTGGGTTGTCATGAAGAAAGATCTGTGTGAAAATAAAGGGGAAAGGGAAGCTAAAAGAGGATATTGTTATCTAAGGTTCCGGTTGCAATGCAAAAATGCATTTGAGCAGGTATATAACTGCACAAATAAGTGTAAATAGAAAATTTCAAAGCGTAATAATTTAACACAGCAAACTAACATTTTCCCTGCAATTACTTTAGAAAATTCTGATTGGTTAATAATCAAAACTACTTTCAATTACAATATTAGTGCCTAATGCATATTATAGATCTATCCTTGTTGATCTTTATGATATTAATAAAGGATCTTAAAGAAGTTTTCTGAAGAGACTATAGATTTACACTTTAAAATGTATCACTGGTATAGTTTCACGAATGCACGGTGTAACTAAGTTTATTTCAAGTGAGCAAACTAATATCATTTTAACAATCATCCACTTTCTATTGAATTTGTTCAATTCAGGGTCTTGGGGGGAGTAGGAGACTAACTCGGTAGATGACAGGCAACATAATTTTACCAGTCCCCAAAATTTTGTTATGCAGTAAAAGTTAAAAGATTTGCCATTCAGTTCAAATAAATAATAAACTATTCATTTCACTATTTTTCATTAGTGCTGAGCTTTGTCACCAGCTTTACATTCTTTGAAACCATATAACCATTTTCTTTGAACACTTCTAGATGGAATGGAAGATGAACCATTCTTTTGAATCTTGTATCACTAGGTTATCCATCAGATGAAAAATACTGAAAATGTTCAGTAGTCTCTGTCCATTTATCTCAGTGAAAATAATGTGTATTATTTAATGTGTATTATTATGTAATAATGTGTATTATTTTCAGTAAACTGTAATGTGTAGTATATTACATTATACTGTAAATATATAAAATACACAGTATAATGTATATCTTACAAGATATTATATACAGATTTGACTCACAGCTGAAAAGCTGTTCTTTCTTTTTCTCTTTCTCTTTTTTTCCTTCTTTCTTTTTGCTTTTCAGCATGAATTTATCTTAAAACATGGAATAATCAAATTTCAGTTCTCCATCTATTTCCTAATTTTAATCGATGGTACTGTTAATATATTGTTTGGAAGAAAGTGGAAAATAGCACCATGAAAGGTTACTTTCAGAAAAGTTCTGATTGGATTCAGCAGAACAAAAATCAGCAGTGTCCTTCTGTCTATCATGCAGTATGCAGTAAATAATTTGTGCAGCAGTAAAACTGTGAACAGCTTAATAGTAACAGGAAATAATCTATGATAAATTTTAAAATGATGAAAAGAAAATCTAAAGTACATGAAACTTGTTTAAGATTCCATTAAAGAAAAATCAGACAATTGCAAAATAAACAACACACCAAGAACTTTTTACCTGAGTAGAAATCTTCTGAATTGATGTCTTAAAGAAATGGTTGTGGAGTCAAGGTCAAGTTGCAATATAATATGTTCTTGATAGGAACAAGTGATCCCTTTCTGCTCGTATGCATTTCCTCTTACAGCTTTGTGGTTTTTGCCACCAACTCGTCAGACTTTGTTTTATGTTTAGACGCAGGGTTTTTTCCAGTGTCAGAAAATATATTTGTGTATAAGCAGTGTAAGAAAAAAGATGCAGAAAGACTTATCTAATTCTAAATACTGTATACTGGGTTGCAAGTTTAGATGTTTGTCTTTGGTAAACAATTAAAACTCAGTAAGCTTAATTGTTGAAGACTTAAATTTACAGCAGGTTTTAAAATATATGAAAACGCATAACTGTACACCCAATGATGGTTCTTTGGATTAACTGTTACTGTATATGAAAGTTACGGTTCCAAAGTCCAAAGATTCCTGCATCCTCAATACTCGGCAAACAAAGTTTTGTGTATCAAGTTTACTATGGCAGAATAGTAGTTCTGGTGTATGAAGGCTACAGCTGTAGGATTCCCACCAATCATCTTGGTCACCATGTAAGTGGATCAATATCGTGCTTTGTCCGGATGTAAAGATGGTAGGCAATTATTTTTCCATATTAAAAGGTGTCAGGCACAGGCATCTCATACCTAAACATCTCCCAAGACAACACCTGCTCCATCTGCCAAAAGTGTGCAGATCCCATATTGGAGCAGTCATCCTTGACCACGAGGGGCAGCCAAAAAATGAATAGGAAAAACATGATTTTATTAAAGCTGAGCAATCACGTGAAGCCTAGAAAGGGTCCTGGTTCGAAGTCTTATGGTGCTGACAGCAATAGTATTTCCGCAGTTCCTGGGTCCTACCATGTGGTGGCGTCACCGTGTTTAAAATTACATGGCGCAGCAATATAACAATATAACAAGTTCCATTATTTCACCTCTTGGCCTTCGAGGGTTTTGGTTTGAAATTACCAAAACCCTCGAAGTAACATCACTTTCAGTTTTGGTACTACAAGAGAATGATTTGATCTATTACATAAAACAAGCTTCGATTATCTTTATTTCAAAATTGAATTTTGCTGTAATTACAGATAGCAGAATGAATGTGGACCTTGTTATTCAGAATACATGAGGTGAACGAACTGCAGTACGTTGAAGTTGTAATGTTCAATATTTACCACTTGAGGGCGGCACTATTTCATTTCTCTTTTTGTTTTCGTTCAGACGTTTTGTTTTAGCCATTGTTTATATTGTTTATATAGCACCTTTTATTCACATTGTATTGCAATGTTTTTCAAACTAAGCACGCCAAGCCCGTAAGAAGATGTTTACTCGTAACTGTTTCAATTTGAATTCCACAGATTAGCGTGAAATTCAGATCGAAATAGTCTTCCATTAGAAAGTTAATATTTCAATGATAATAAACAATAATTCAGTTATTATCTGTTACTAGTAACGCTATTTAGCGGTTCATTTGAACACTTTCTGTAAGGGAAATGTTATAAAAAAGAATACTAATTGAATATACTTTAACAAATGTTTTGGATCGTATAAATATTAAAATCACCGATTCTCTTCACAATTCGGATTTTTTCTGGAGTTTTGTAGCTATAACGTTTAAACCGGAGAATTGTGCTAAGCTATACATTCATGTCACTGTTGCTTTGGTTAGGACATGTTCCTCTGCACATGTTTCTCGAGCCTGTACAAGCTTTCGCATAGACGTAGGTGAGATTCCTTTCTTCTGGCATCATGAGCCAATAAGTAAGTCACAGCACAGAAACACGACCTCCATAGAGAAACTCCAACCATGTGACGTTGGAAAGCCGGAGAAGGGGGCGGACCGTTTGGTTATAAAAATGATCTGCTCGCTCTTTCCCACCACACTTGTGAGGAGAGCATTAAGGATTGTTTCGGAATGGATATACTAAGATCAATCACTTACCAGCCGGCGAATAACGGCAAGATGTCCGAGCAGACGCTCAGCAAATCATGCGAGTTTAAAAGAAAGAAATCGGAGGACCACAGCCACGTAGCTCCTGAGATGTCACGGATCATAACAGACCACACCACCGGCAAATGTTACTGCCGGGGGAAAGTTTTGGGAAAGGTAATTGAGGCAGACTAGAAACCACTGGAAATTAGAGTGTCCTTATTTTTGGGGATTTTCCTTGGACTGGAAAAATAACACTATTTTGGAGTTTTATTGTACATGGACATGTTTCATTCTGTCTGGAAATTATGCGATTTATATATATTGAATGTATTGTACATAGGTTTTCATGTGCATTCTTTTAAGTTAGTTAGGTTATTTTGTAAAGAAGCAGGAATAAGCTTGGCTTTGCGTTAAATTTTGTAACTTGCCTGAAGCTTTTTTTTATTGTGCATCTTTACAGGGAGGTTTTGCCAAATGCTACGAACTGACAGACCTATCCACCAACAAAGTGTATGCTGCGAAAATCATCCCTCACACGCGCGTTTCCAAACCACACCAGAGGGAAAAGGTATGTAAAACGAAAAGAAACCTGATATTTTAAAGCGCATGGTTTCTCTCTTAACATTTCTAGACAAGAGTAAGATAAGCGAAAAATATACAGTATATGCAATTCCTTTGATTTTATAGATTGACAGAGAAATCGAGCTGCACAGAATTCTGCACCACAGGCACATCGTTCACTTCTTCCACCACTTTGAGGACAAAGAGAACATCTACATCTTACTGGAATACTGCAGCAGAAGGGTAAGAGTCATTTAATCATTTTCACTTTGGTTTGGTTAATAGCAATTTGATTTACACAATACGACTGCTTAAACTATGCAATAACGAATTTTTACCTTATGAAACTGGTTTGGATAGAAGCATTTCGTGATTAGGAAATAGCATTTTCTGCAGTTATAAATAATGCGCCTCAATGAGAACCCTACATGAGAACTGACTATGCTGAGAGTATATAGGTAGCTGGTTTGTGTTTTCTTGTTTAGCGAGCTCAGCTTGTCACCTGTATTAAAATACCTGACTCTAATTTGTTAATCATATCTACAGTGCTAAGTATCTTTTTTTTTTTTGTTGCATGCAGTCTTTAGCTCATATTCTAAAAGCCCGAAAGGTGTTGACTGAGCCAGAAGTGAGATACTATCTCAGGCAGATCGTCTCGGGACTGAAGTACCTTCACGAGCAAGAAATCCTGCACAGAGACTTAAAATTGGGTATGTTTGTACTGTATGTAAACTAGAAAGGACTAAATGTCTGAACACTTGGCAACACTTTGTAATGATTATGGTTGTTCTGAAAGCATAGACCAAAAATAATTTAACCTATTCTTTTTTTATAGGCAACTTTTTTATCAATGAATCAATGGATCTTAAAGTTGGAGATTTTGGCCTTGCAGCGAAATTGGAACCCCTTGAAAACAGGAGGAGGTATGTTTTAGCTGGAGCTCATTGAAATCTGTTCGGTAATGTAAGTAGGGATCTGAAACTAAACTTGCACCTCCCTGGTTTTGCAGAACAATCTGTGGAACGCCAAACTACCTATCTCCAGAGGTCCTGAACAAGCAGGGACATGGCTGTGAATCGGATGTCTGGGCCCTAGGCTGTGTAATGTAAGCCTCACATTTTGCTGGCATGTGTATTCTGCTGCATGTGTTGTCAATCTCTGGCTATAGTTTGCATCCGTTGCCTTGGATATTACCCTTTGTAAAAGTACTTGGTCTGTTTGTACATTTGCGTGGGTTTTAGTTATGGATGTTAATAACTCTTTTCTTTAACTAAGAGAAGGCTAAAATATTTGACATGTTTTTAAAATCTTTTCATGTGCTGGAAATTGACTGTTGTGTTCATTTCAACAGGTACACCATGCTACTTGGAAGGCCCCCGTTTGAAACCACTAACCTGAAAGAGACCTACAGATGTATAAGAGAAGCAAGGTATCTGCTGCCTTCTTCCCTGTCAGTCTCTGCCAAGCAGCTAATAGCCAGCATGCTGTCAAAGAATCCAGATGACCGACCTCATTTAGATGACATCATTAGACATGACTTTTTCTCACAGGTTTGTGAATTTTTTTTATGCTTCCAAATATTAGAAAATGATAAGAACAAAAAAGCAAAACTAATATGCATACCCTGGCATATATTACTTATAATTTATGCCATGCCAAGTTTCTATGCATTGATTTTAGCGTCACACACCTTTCATTTATTTTTTAGTAATAAATGACTCTCGGCCCATAAGCAGTTTCATTCTTTAATATTTTCTCTGGTTCTCTTTTTTCAATTACAGGGATTTACTCCAGAAAGGCTATCCCCTAGCTGTTGCCACTCTGCTCCAGATTTCCACTTATCAAGCCCTGCCAAGAATTTCTTCAAGAAGGCAGCCGCTGCACTGTTTGGAGGGAAAAAGGAGAAAGCCAAGTACTACGAAAATCTCAGTAAGTGTCCAGTCTCATTGCCAGGGAGAGTCTACATTTTTTAAATGTAGAGTAATTCCTCCACCCAAATGTTGTGCAGCGGAGAAGGGATACTGCTACAGGCATGTACCCAGTTTATTGATTTAGCTTCCATTTTGGGCTCCTGCATTGCTAATTTCAACTTGAATGATTTGGGTAAAAATTAATTTATTAAGCAGACAATGTAGTCTGCGTGCTTTGACCTTTGATCTACGTTCTGGTGTAATGGCAATTTTCCTGGCTGTATAACTAGGTTGCACTATTTACAGATGGGCAGGAACACTGGTTATGTAAAGCAAAGTGTATGTATGTTTACCAATAGTTTCTATCGGTTTGTTCCTGTTGGTACAGATAAATTAACCAAAGAAGAGGATGAGATGTACAAACTTCGTCACGACCTGAAAAAGACCTCTATCAGCCACCAGCCCTGCAAACAAGTGGAGGTGAGACTTCTTACACTTACCTAGTCAAGATAAGAAAATGGATTAGGGAAAGATAAATTCTCCTTAAAGTTCATGTTTACATTATCTATGTTTTTTTTTTATGTTGACAAGTCTAAAGTTGGAGTTTTGTGTGTTTGTAACTTGACAATTGTTTTCTGGTTGGCCCTACAGGACACCAAGCCTCCAATTGCCCCTGCTGGGAAGCCAATAGTGTTGGTGAAAGAGAACAAACAGCAGATCCGAGACACAATTCGCATGATTGTGAGAGGAACCCTTGGGAGCTGTAGCAGCAGTAGCGAATGTAAGTTAACAGATTTACTTACTGTATACAATTGCTCATAGTGGCTTTCTCGGCAGACTAGCTGCTTTGTTTGAGTTACTGTTTCTGTCTGCAATCCTGATTTTTTTTTTAAGAGTTGATTTTAAGTGTGGGGTTATATTGCAGGTCTTGAAGATAGCACAATGGGGAGTGTTGCCGATACTGTTGCCAGAGTTTTGAGGGGCTGTCTTGAAAACATGCCAGAAGGTAAGGTTTAATCAGTGAGGATCTAAGACAAATAGAAGGGAGGGGCTGTTTCTGCGTAGGTGTTTTCCGATGTTGTGAGGGATTTTTTTTAGGCATGCTATGGGAAAGGATATAATTTGTCCTGTGAGATAAAGAGATTTTAGTATACAGGAAATGGATAGTCCTAAAAGGCAGAAGGATGCTGGGGGTAGGGGTTTTACTAAGTAGGTAAAAAGGATTTTGTTTCCAGAGGGTGCTAATTTGGTTTCCTGTGTTGTTTCAGCTGAGAGCATTCCAAATGAGAATATTAACAGCACCTTCCAGTGGGTGACGAAATGGGTGGATTATTCCAACAAGTACGGCTTTGGTTATCAGCTTTCAGACAACACCGTTGGCGTTCTCTTCAACAATGGGACCCACATGAGCCTGCTCTCCGACAAGAAGTAAGCACCTGCTTGTAAAATCAACAAAATGATGATTTGGTATTATTTTTTAGATCAATTGTCTTCCAAAAGGTTTAATGTTCTGATGGAGTTTCCTCATCTTATCTTTGTTAGGACTATCCACTACTATGCTGAGCTTGGTCAGTGCTCAGTCTTCTCTACAGTGGATGCCCCAGAGCAGTTCATCAGCCAAGTGACCATTCTGAAGTACTTTGCACACTACATGGAGGAAAACCTCATGGATGTAAGTTACTTTTTACAAGGATTTAACACAGCTGTGTGCTATTGTGATCTAATGTAAACTATGAGGTACTTACTTTGGTTTATTTATTTTTTTCCTTTTTTCCTCCTTAATAGGGTGGGGATTTGCCTAGTGTAACTGATATGCGCAAACCCAGGCTGTACCTTCTTCAGTGGTTGAAATCGGATCGTGCATTGATGATGCTTTTCAACGACGGCACATTCCAGGTAAATAAATGCTATTTACTCTTCTAGCGATGGATGAGGTGTAATATCAGCATTCTGGTCCAGAACAGTGGGACCAAGCAGTTTGGAGCCAGAATTGGGGGGGGGGAAAGCATTAGCTTAATAAGAGAAACAGCCATGTTTGTAACATTAACTAATTGAGTTTTCTCTTTTTTTTTAAAGGTAAATTTCTACCACGACCACACAAAGATCATAATTTGCAACCAGAATGAGGAATATCTGCTGACATACATCAATGAGGAGCGTGTCTCTACCACCTTCAGGCTGACCACCTTGCTCATGTCAGGATGCTCATCTGATCTTCGCAACAGAATGGAATATGCCTTAAATATGCTTCTGCAAAGATGTAACTAAAGTCTGAGAACTCTGAGGGACTTTGCAAGAATGAAAAAGGGTGGATTTCTAATCAGTGGGGCTTTGGCAAGCGTTTTCAGTGGATGTACTTGTATGTTGACAGTTTGGCGGGCTGGAAGTGATTTAAAAGGACGGAGGTACGAAACATCCAACCAATCCTTTTTGAGAAGAATGCTGGGCTGGATCCAGATGGACTTTTTTATTTAAATTTTATTGTAGAAAATCTTGCTTTGTTGAACTTGACTTGGAATTCTGGATAATTTAGTCTTGCAGCTTGTAACATATGCATCAACAAAGCAGGGTAATATCACGTAGCTCTCTGTAGAGCAAAATAGACTTAAAACTGTGAAAACATCCCACCAGGGCTAGATTGTGGTCAATTTCTGACAAAGCAGTCTTGTGCTGCCTAGCTGTGAACGTAAGAAAACCTTACTTTTGAAAGTCTGTGTTGGAATAAGGACAATTCCACATGGTGTGTCTGGACAGATACATTCCTTGTTGTTACAGAAATAAATTATGGACAAAGTGCAGTATTTATTATTTATTTAAAACAAATAATAAATTGAAATAATTCATGCTTTTGTGACTGAAACTTGTTTTAAAGTTATATCCATATTGTTATTAAAGGCTATGAAACTGACAAGTCTTGCTTTTCTCTTTGTAAAAATGTTTCTCTGAAGTCCTATTTAACAGTGTTTTTGCTTTGCTGGGTACTTTCTTGCAGCAAAATACATTTCCTGGCATTTTAGAACTATTCTTTTATATTTGTTAATGACTGGAGCATAAACCAGCACATCGGATATACTGTATTTTGTAACAGTAAAGTACCCATCATATTTCTTATCTGTAAAACTTAAAAATCTGAGGTTGCTGTTGGGACATAAAGGTAAATAAGCATCTCAGTACCCTTTATATTGAATACTTTTTCCCTTTTAATTAACCTTGCCAATACAAAGAGAATTTGATTTAGTTAAATTGGCATCTTTATCTTACAAATTACTGTTGCCACAATTTAGTTAAAATTCCCTCCGAATCTGATGTTTCAACAGATCTGTACAGAGGTGCAATACATTAATGTATTTTTCCAATGACAATTTGCTCTACTTCAATAATGAAACATTCCCTCTGTATCTGAATTGTTCTGACAACATTTTTCAATAGTGTTTCAATTAGAATTTTGTGATCCTCCTTAGCTTCTCCTGCTTGAGACTGAATTAATTTTGCTTGCCAACTTGCTGTTTTGTTGCTCTTATCATCTTGGCAAAAATAAAGCATTTTCAAATCTGGCCTATACACTTAATTGATAAGCGAAGAGATTTATTTCCTCCCCCGTGTGAGTGTGGATACATCATTCTTATCCTCCTTTTAAATACTACAGCATGTTTAAATTATTATAAGTTAAATGTTTGGCTGGTGCTTACGGTCACTACTACAAAGCCTGTGACCATGGACTGGAAAACTGAGCTTCATCTGCAAACTCAGCTCCCCCTTCATGGCCGCAAGTACAGCGTTAGCAATACTGAAGCTGCTGCTCTGATCCACAGTCTCACGATCCCCTCTACCCCCCACTCGTGAGCAAGTCCCTGAGGTACTTGCTTCACTTGGGGCAGCTGTACCCTCCTCAACTGGAGAGAGCAAGCCACTATTTTCTCCAAGAGAACCATGTCCTCAGTTTTATAGGTACTACCCTCTCATCATGACTGCAGCATACTTGGCTACAAACCTTTCCAGTCTGAGATTCTAGTCAGAAGAAGCAAGGAGGATGAAATCATCCGCAAACAGCAGATGTTATATCACATAGGAACCCAAAGAGAAAACAAACCAGTGTACCAGGTGCCTTTATATACTGTATAATGTTTATAAATACTAGCCCACGAGAAGCAATATTCAGAAGGCAATATTCAGAGATGCTACATTGGTGGGTGATTAGGATGCAACTGTCATCACAGAAACATGGCTGATAGTGAGGGTGAAGAAACAACATTAGTACCCACATCAGTGTTGTGGAGAGCCTGGAAAGATGGAAATGGAGTGATGTTTAGCACTTTACATGAAAAAGAACATTCAGGTGCAGGAATTTAATCTAGGAGAATCAAGGACATCAGAATATACGTTACAGGTATACAAGGCCGCAGTTCGGCACAGAATCAGTGTTACTGCAGCCACTGCACCGATCCATGATCTCACAGTCCCCTCTACACTTTTGAGGTCTTAACCTGCTTTTATCCTTGACTGTTCTTCCTGTAGGAATAAGGAATATTATACTGTACTTCTTCTTATTCTTCATTTCTTTTAAAGGTAGCACTATTACAAAATATAAGGGATATTGTCTGTTCATAACTAGTACAAGTTGTAGGTTGTAATTTGTAGAAGTCGAAATCAAATGTTTACTTGATTGAACAAAATCACTCATTAACATAATGAGTCGGAGCTTAAAAGAAGCAGAATGGGATGAGATGGATAATGAATTAGCGGCAAATAAAATTAATATATAAAAGTATAATTATAAAATCATGTTACTTGAAGCACAATACAGATCCAAAGAGTTAAAGCAAAATTAATCCTGGAAGCACAAACAAATTATTTTTTGGTACTGCAACAACTCAAGAGCAGTAAAAAATTAAGTGGGCGGAGTGGTTGCACTGTGGCTATGGATCTGCGGCTGTGGCTGGAAGTTTGCCGGTTCAAATCCTGTGGCTGGCAGAGGAATCCTACTCCACTGGAGCCCCTGAGCAAGGTCCTTAACCCCAACTGCTCCAGGGGTGCTGCACGATGGCTGCCCCTGCACTCTGATCCCAAGCTTCTCTCTCTCTGCCTGTGTGTCTCATAGAGAGCAAGCTGATGTATGTGAAAAGACAGATTCCAATTGCAAGAAATTGTATATGGCTAATAAAGTGATCTTATATTTGGAGATTTCTAGACACTCAAAGGTGAATTGCTGATGTATTACTGTAAATTATTTTTTCACTGATCACCAAGGAAAAATGATCAATATTCATCAGACAGGAAAGACAAATGTCTACATTAAATAGTGCTAGTTCAAAAGAGGCAGAAATGTTATACAGTATGTACTAGAAGCGCTTATGATAAGCAGATCTTCAATGCCTGATGGTATTGTACAAATTGCTGAAATAAAATCTATACAGAAACAGGAGCCTAGGGAAACATTTTCATAGTTCTGTGCTTCTCTTAAGGGAAGCTTACTGTACTCTTACTTTATGAAACTGTTCTACAGCATATTGTAGCTCATGTAGATTAAAGACAGGTAGACCTTATTTAACTAATTTGTGAAACACTCAACAACAGTAGTGGACACATACAGAAAGCAAAATGTGTGTTCAGTTTTTCATAAAGTTCTTTAGAAAAAAGTTCCTTCTCAAATTGCATGCAGTAGAATTTCAATGGAATATAATGTGTGTTGACTGAGAGCTGGTTAATGGAATTGAGTGAATTCTCCAATTTGGTAAATTAGTCAGTTACCCTAGGGATCTTTAGTAAGACTATTTCTTAATACAGCGTTCCTAATACAGTGGCAGTATAGATCTTATAATCTCATCTTCTGTATGTAGTTTATAAAATAGTAATTATCAAAATTACTGTGTCAATCAATGCTAAATGCTCTCCAAGCATAAGTAAATAAAGGAAAACATTAGTACAGTTTTGCCCAGAGATAGTCTGTTAAACGTTCCAGCCCCAGGATTTCAGTTAGCTTCCAGTTATTAGTGGCTTGTTATGATGTTCCCAATAAATGTTTTTTGTTGAAGGCCCATCAGTGATAAGATTGCCTATTTTAGATTATACCAACATGGTTATGCCAATTATCTGCTCCTTGTTTTCTTCTGATATACCAAAAGGTATGAAACATTAAAACTTTTCTTTATGATTATGCGCCTTACAGTCTCCATTGCTGCTCTGTGATCACATATTTTTTTCATAGCAACCATTACCTGCAAATCCTGAAAGCTACAACTGCATTTCTAGTTTGAAGCAGTTCACTTCAAGTTTTAAGTGACAATGACTTTCTGATAATACCACGGTGCTGAACAAAATGCCTTTTTTATCCATCTACCTATCATACATGTAGCTGATGGTTACTTTGTCAACATTTATAACAGTACTTACTGTTCTGCAGCGAAGGTTCATTTGTTTGCTTGTGACAGTGAGGTCAAAAGCTTAATAATGTTTGAAAACCACTGATCTGGTCTCTTTCTATTTATAATAATTTAAGGCGTATCAGTAGGTTATTTAACATTGTAGATTAACAACCAATGACACATTACTTTTAAAATAATGTTAAAACTAGTGTAGCCCCTTTTGAAAGAATCATAAGACTAATATGTTTTAAGAGTCATGGGTATAGCAATTCTTTCCAAACTATTAAACTAACTAAAGTCAAAGCTTTGCAATATACTGTACGTAGAACTAAAAGAACTGGTTTATGCTAGTGTAATCATCAATATGCCAATATGATTCAGCTGTGTCTGAAAAGAACTTGGACTCTGAACCAAGCAGGAAAGCAGTTTTAAAGGGTAAGGTTATGTATTGGCCCAGGAGATTGTCACTGCAGAGGTGGTGTACAGATGGAGAAGAAACACAGGAAAAGCAGCCTAATTTCTGTTTTCACCACTGGACCTAAGTGTTATCAGCAAGAAGGAGCTGAGACTTTGTGCAAGAAAAACACAAAATACTCAGAATACTACATAACATTTAAGCATAAATCAGAAGACTGCAGAAATTCTTTAAAAATGGGTTAATGTATGCAAAAATAATTATGGTATTTAGTTGTTTGTTTTTGCCAAAATAATATTTCAGTACTGTACCATTTGCCAAATCTCAGATGGTGTTTTTTGTGTACTGTACAGTATATTTAAACCATCTGGGGATTCTTAGCTGATGACATTGCTAGAATTATAATGAAATATGTGAATAACACTAACAGCTTCAAACAGAATGGTTACAGATTTGCTAGTAGGAGTTCCCACATTTTTCCAACAGATTTATTTTTAAAGAAATAAAATCATTTTGTCTACAGTTATCTAGTGTGTTAATATACTGTACTTTATTTTGTAAACCAATGCTACTGCACATTGCTTAAGAGCACACTGCAATCTGCAGATACAGTACATATTCTCCAAAAATTAATAAACTTAATTCTGTCTCAGTCAGGAAATTAATGATCATTCATCTCCAAATTATCTAATTTTTTACCTTTTTAAAAATTAACAATAAATACTTTAACTATGTCATGATGATATTTCAAAATAATACTACAGTTTTATTCATAAACCATGTTGTTTTATAATACTGTATATGTAAATTATTTGTTTTAGTGCTTGTCTAGAGATTGACAAAAATAAAAAGTTACAGCTCTGCTCCCTCGAGATTTTGAGTCTCTCTCCACAAGTTCAATGCTACCCAGTTCCAAGAGTGTGGCATCTTCTGTAACAAGCTCAGCACCAAATGAATCCTGTCACACTACACCTCCTGTAATGTTCATGTTGCATACAAATTTACTATTTTAAAATGGAACAAATCACACCTTTCATATGACATAGTTATATTTGATTCGTAACATGATGATCCCAGTTAGTTGGTGTAACATACTGTAGGTATTGCCATACCCTCATTTTCTAAAAATTG